AATAATATCATTTAGTGTTGGTATTATTATATTATGTATAACCATAAAGAATATTGAAAATTAAAAATATTAATTATTTATTTAAGCAATATTATTGTTTTATATGTAAGTTAAAATATTAAGCAACACTATTACTAGCTTTATAGACAAAAAAAATATATTAATCAGATAAATAAATCAAAATAAATCCGCAAAAAAATCCAAATAGATAAAAAAATGATCACCTACAAACTTAAAAAAAAACTTAAAAAGGACAAGAGTGAAACTGTAAAACCTTAGTAGTATCACGTTCACAATAAAAAAGAGCTTATTTCAAGAGATATCTCGACATCAGTCATTCTGCGCCGCATTTTAACTCAACATAAGATAGTATTCACGCCCATTGTGCCGTTTATTATGAAGGGATGATGTAATTGAATAGAAATGTCAAATTTGCAAGTGAAATTTTGTATTTTGTATAAAGTTGTATCAAGAGAACGGAAGTTACACCTCAATTCTCTTGTAATATTATTCTATAAAGTCATTCAATTTGTTGTAATTGTATTAAGTACCTATATTTTGTAAGCGTCACGATACTAAAGTTTGAAGTTGGGATGACTTGTTTGCATAATTGGCGCAAAGTTGTGCGCTTTGGAGCTCTGAGTGATGAACGGACTTAACTCGCATATTCTTAACTTAGTTGGCATTTCAATTTCATAACCGCTATTTACATAGATTGTTGCTGTTCGATTCCCTAATATTAAATGTAAAAAGTAAAGGTTCAAGACTTATGACTTGAAAATTAAAAAAAATGCTTTGAAAATATCAGAAACATGTATGACGTCCGAAATAAAATACTCTGGTGTTAGAAAAAGAAAAAAATATATAAAATTTGAATAATATATTTTAAAGCTTTTATTTGCTTATTTTTTAAATTTTGTTTCTTTATTTTTTTTGTTTGTTTGTTAGTCAGTCAGTTTTTGGTTTGATTTCAGTTTCTAGTCAGAAAGTATGAGCCCTTTAAGTAGTAAACCCCTAAAGGAATGAAAAAGGGGTTGAATTTTTGTACAAAACGCGAGCAGAGACACGGGCAAATGCTACTATAAACTAAATTCTATATACCTAACTAAGACTTTATAATTTGGAAGAAATAGTTACACTGTTTGTTGCAGCTATCATAATGAAGTAGTGCTTTATAGAGTAAACAGATAACTTCGATAACTAGCGAATTATTCACAGTGCTAACGTTAACCGCTCAGTGTGAATGGTTCCAAAACTGAATGCACCCGTATTGTGGTTTCATTCGCAAAACCCACATTAAGCTTCCTATACACATATTGATCATTTAATTCATTAATTTAATTGTATTTATCATATTAATTTGTAATATTTAGTTATAAAATGCTTTTTGTAGGGAATTATTAACTTCATAAGTTATAATTTTTAAACTTGCTCTCATAATATTAAGTATTTAATTTTGAATTACATAATTTGTAATTAGCTAGTACATTTAGTCAGAGTATTCTTTCTTCCTCTCTCTCTTTGTCTCTCTCTCGCTCTCTGTCTCTCTCTATCTCGATCTCTTTCTTTTGAGCAATAGTTTGGTTAAAAAAAAATACAGTCGAATTGAGAACCTCCTCCTTTTTGAAGTCGGTTAATATAACTTGTCTTAATATAATATGTGATATTAATACAATAACTTAAAAATAAATTACATAATATATTATTTTAAATGTCGTAGACTAAAGTATCACAGGTTTGGTTACCACAGGCGCTAAATATTTTTTTCAAGATTTCTTAAGCCCGGAAGCACTCATAAATAATTCAGATCAAATATCACTAATATGACCGGAGTTTGGCAAAAAGTAACGGTTCAACATTCATTACAGCCTGTAAAAAAAGCGTAATACTAAATACAGTATTAGGTAAATATCTAACTCTGTATGTTATGCAGTTTCACGAAAATTATTCGTGTTTCAACTTACGTGTACAACTAGCATTCAAAATGCTCACACATAGAACATTTATCAATAGAACAAACACAGTTCAGGTCACTACACTAAATATAACAGAATATTTTTAGTACATTGAGTACTCCAGTTTAGTCCAAACCGCTGTTACTAATCGCTTCATAGTTCTAAAATAGGTGTTATCTTCTAAATTGGTAAAATTTATTTATCATTCAATATTGTGTTTTCTATTGTAAAGTTGACTTTTGTATCAATTAAGTTATGTTATTTTAAATCCATTATTACCCAAATGCGATGAAGCCCAAAGGAGGTTGTGTTTGACCTATATGTATGTATGTATGTATGTATGTATGTATGTATGTATGTATGTATGTATGTATGTATGTAAGTATGTATGTATGTATGTATGTATGTATGTATGTATGTATGTATGTATGTATGTATGTATGTAAGTATGTATGTATGTATGTATGTATGTATGTAGGTATGTGTGTATGTATGTATGATATACATACATATATATTTACCCATATTTGCCTATAATTACTAAACTTAACCGATTGTGATTATCCATACGTTATTAGATTCGGTTCGATACATGTTTTATACGTGCTGCGAGTCTTGCTACATCAACTTGTTCATATATTTAGTCGGTTTTTACGCAGTCGGTTTTTTTTAATTTATTATTGTATTAAGTAGTTATGTAGATCAATATGACTTTATAAGTGAGAAAGTAAGTCAGTTGCGAAAAGTAAGTTAGAGGTACCAGTAATGTGTATTTTGACTTTTTGATTACTTCTGTGATACTATTAGAACATCGGTTCGATTAATTTGTTTTGATCATTTAACTAAAATAAAATCATGTTATTCCATACATAAAAAGCGATGTATATAGGTGTAAATTGTAAAAAGTTGAAATTCAGGGCACGTGCTTCATTGCACAAATAATAATTTTATGACGCAGTAATGAATGCGATAATTTACTATGTCGTTAGTTTAATGATAAAGCTTGATATGTTTTTTTGTAAATATATTAAAAATAATATTTATAATAAAGATGGACTCTTTTGAATCATTCAATTCAATTCCAGATATGTTTTTATTAAACTTCAGTTATATATCTACAATTAAATGCTGTTTTTTTTTAAAAGAAGAATGTATTGATATTCCACTCTAAAATTTGCTTATTGCCGGAATTCTAATGCAAATGTTACTTTCTGTTTTTAAAAGCGGATTCTTGCATATTACAGTTACAGAAGTAAAACAAAAACTTCATCATTGGGATACCTAGCTTTAAAAATATTTCCTTCAATAAATAGAAAAAAAATATTGCGAATGACAAACAGACAAACAAGAGATCGTATAATGATTCTGTACTTTTATTTGAAGGTATAGAACATATATTATTTTATTTCCCTTCAAAATAAAAAAAAATAAGCGACACGTTGGACATATGAAACGTTGGACTTCTCGTCAAAGAGATTTTATATGTAAATTATAAACGGCTCTCCACAATCGGTTGGGCATTAATCAATGTAATCTAATTGTAATGGAGATGAAATAAATTCGCTCGAATAATATTATCTGGCGTGTGTTGTTAATTGACACCGGATTAAACGATTTTATTTTTGGTCATCGTTTCTATAAAGACTTGCTTATATTAATCAAATAAGAATAAATATTTGTAAATATCACAAAATTACATTATAGTAGTTTAAAATTTCACTAATGTTTGAAAAAAATAATTAATGTTATTAAATAAAACTTTTCATATTTTTCGGGATTCTCTCGCGTAACCATAATTGCTAAAAAGCATTCGAAACGTTGAGAATTTAAAAATCTAAATAGATCCGCGAAAGATTCCGAAAAGATAGTTTTATTTAAAATCTATACTAATATTATAAAGATTCAGAGTTTATTTGTTTGTTTGAATGCGTTAATCTCAGGAAATACTAATCCGATTTGAAAAAAAAAATTTTTGCATTAGATAGCCCTTTATTAAGGAAGGCTATAGGGCATAGGCTATATATCACACAATATATAGTCTATCTATCCCATACTAACAGTTAAAATGTACCTAGGGATGAACCCGAGTGAAGTGAGGTTAAGTCGCTAGTGTCAAATATTTGCGTAAACCTTAGAAAGTATTAGTATTATTAAGATGAACAGATAAATAGATTTGTACCAACATCTTGTGCAAAAGTAAACTATGTGTTATTCAAGTCATATTATATGGGTGTCAGGTTATATCTATGAACTAAATTTCATATAAATTCGACCAGTGGTTTCAGCGTTAATATATAACAAACTTACAGACATACAAAATTCTCATTTAAATAGTATAGCAAGTACATATATCAGAACATTTTAAAATTAATTAATACGATTTCATTAGCTACACCTCTAACAAATTGGCTATGTAATTACTCTTTAAAGTCGCCTTTTAGCTCCTTCTAATTGTCGTATCTATTTTTAAGATTGTAACTAAGTGAAATCTGGATGAAAATAAAAATATTTGTTAACAACGAGCTGATTTGATGATGGTTCCAGAAAGTGAATAGTGAAAATGTTTTTTGTTAAAATTGTGAATAAATATTTAGATTGTAAGCTTCAGAATAATGCATGTATGCATGTATGTATGTATGTAACCCTTAAAGGGTAATGCTTAATTTAGACTTAAGTTATATTCAATTCAATTTTCTTGTTAACGGCTTCAAAGCATACCAGTTGAGCACAGATTTATTCGTCAATGTCACGTAGAATGGAAAAGACATGAAGGAAGTCGGTTTAATTTACATAGTGTTTTTTTTATTTAAAATGTTTATATTAATTTAATTATCTGTGGATCGAAATAAACAAATTAATTCTACAATGGCAACTGCAATGAATTCAAGTGTGACCTTAATTGACTAGTTTTACCTAGTATAGTATTATGTGATCTGTGATACATACATACATACGTACATACATACAAAAATACACGAAAAAACTATGTCTATTTGTTTTTCAGTATTATTTGTTTATACTTTCATTTCTAATATATTGTTGCAGTTTCGACACGCGAGTATTGGGCCCAGCAGGTCACTGGTCCGATGACAAAAACTTCGGTGACCGAGCGAGATGGGTTGGTCAACCGAATTCAGCTCTACACGTCCGAGACGTACAATCACACGACAGGGCTATATACAGATGTAGAGTCGATTTCCAAGTGTCGCCCACAAGGAATTACAGAATCGCACTCGATGTTATCGGTAAGTTTCTTTTAACTTAGGTATAAGTAGTTTATTAAGCTGTAGCTATTTGTAAGGTTTTTCTAACTTAGCAACATACCTACGTTTAGTTTTTACTCGGGAGTTTGATATCTTGTATTTATAATGGGATATGCGAGTATTTATTTTACTATTATTGAATATTTGACATTTTAAATAAAACTATCTTTTCGTTTTTCAGGAAACAAAAACCAAAATAAATCTGCAAAAAAATCTGAAAAGATATTTTTATTTATAAAGTATTTATTTTTTCATTCTAATATTTTTTATACAAATATTTTCTTTATCTTGAAATACGCTTAAACACAAATTTTAAGTAAAGACTAGAAAAGTATTGGTGACATAAATCTTGTCTTTTATATCATATCATTCCTTTCTTTACTAAATAGAACTTAACACAAAGCGTCAAATTTTAGGCGTAAAAAGGACAGTATACCCACATTGATCTTTTTTATTATTTTTTTATATTTTTCTTTTTTTATATATATAATTGGATGTAGATGAATAAGACAATACAAAATGAATGATTTAAATATTTTACTCAGATTTATGACTAACTAGTTTATTATTGTAAATAAATATACCTTACATTTCAATCTAAGATGTGAGCCACCTCTTACCCCTTCTTCTTATTCGTGTATTTCATTTCTGAAGGTCGTGTCCTTGAAAGGCTTTCTGTTACTTCTCTCCACTATGACCAGTTTAAATGTAATCAATTGCCTTTCGTTTTTCTCGCTAAAACTCAAAAAACGACTGTACCAATTTCAATAGTTCTTTTTTTGTTTTGCTGAGGATGTGTCAGGGTCGTTTTAAGTATAAAAAAATAGGGAAACCGAAAAAAATAGCTGAAATATCAAAAAGCTTAGAACTGTTTATTTTGTACTTATAATATATAGTCTATCGGCTATCCCATACTAGCCGTTAAAACATACCTAGGGATGAACCCAAGCAAAATGAGAGTGGATCGCTAGTATCAAATGAAAAAATATTCTTAACTTCAACGTTATGAAAATCTCGGAAGAAAATTTAATCGAATCTTTTCTTATTTAATAAATATAGAAATAAAATCACATACCCACACTTTCACTTGCCATCTTGTATTTTCAACGACGTTAACATAATTATTTCTTTGAATACTAAACCAAGTGAACAACGTTTGATATTTTATCGTACGCTTTCTCAAGATTATAAATTACTATAAAAATAAAGTATGAAATACGCTAAGCAATATCTATATTATTTTTATATTTTAAAATAAATATTACTATTGACTGAAAAAAACCCATAAAATTACTTTCATTTGCGAGGTTGACCCAATTCTCATAATTTTAAAGAGAACGCTTTTAAAATACTGTGCGAAATAGTACGGACAATTTTTCATTAGTGACAGAGACATCTATACGAGGAAGTTTAACACGCCAATATACTTGTTATAGAGCTTAGAATCTATACATATGAAAAAATTGTAACTAAGCCGAATCTGTACATTAAATATTTTTTGGAAAATCTTATCGAAATAGACATTATTATCGATACAGAGGCCGAATCTATAGTTTTTAGAATTTTTGTCTGTCTGTCTGTCTGTCTGTCTGTTACCGCATCACAGAAAAACCACTGGAGGGATTTTGATGAAATTGGGTATGGTGATAGCTGGTTATCGAGGTCGACATATAGGATACTTTTCACCGCGGGAAAATATCTCATTTCTGAGAAAAAATTCAAAAACTGCCTTGTAAGAGTATACTAATATGTATAACCTAAGAATTTAGTTTTTGGTCATCTGAACGCGGGCGGAGCCGCGGGCAATGCTAGTTCATTATGAAGTAATCGTAAATTACAATAACGAACATAACGTAACCGTAGTTTACTCTAATTACAATTTAGCTATAACGTGTAAAATACATCCTCAGGAGTGTTGTAACATAAAGTAATTAACATATTCCCTTAAATTAATCTATATTACGAGTTGTACATTGCAATAAATTAATCGATTTTAATTGACGATACATTGATTTTAATTACAGATTGTACTGATCATACTGAAATATGTATAATGATGTCTCAAATTATTATATTTATAGCTTCATTACTAATTCAATGATTTGATACCAATCTCATTTCACTTAAACAAAATTGAGCAGTTTATTATGTACTAGCTATGACCCGTGTCTCTGCTCGCATGCTACGGCTATACTAATGATCATTTTTTTCTTATAAATAAATAACAATAAAAAATCGACTGTGTGTATGTATGTTCACTATGGACTCCAAAACGGCTGGAGCGATTTTGATGAAGTTTTCAGGCAATCTTCAAATTAATTAATACGGCTTAAAGCATGAAACAAAATAAGAATTATTTCAAGTTAAAATACTTAACTTTAATCTGGGCAAAAATCTGAGCAGGAGCAAAGCTTAATTTCAGTAATCAAGGAACAAGGGAGAAGTTCTAAAGAAACATAAGGTAAAATGAATGAAAAAAATTACACGAGCTAAAACAAAAAGTTTGAAACACAAGAAACGTCGCCGTGCGGGATAATCACGATAAAACAGAGAGCTGTAAACTTGACCCGCCTCTATCCGGGCATCAACAAGGAAAGTTTGAGGACAATAGCCTAGGATGGCTTTAGTTCGATAGGGCACCGTAAAAATGTAGGTCGACGACGAAATTAATGCTGTGCGGATGTTTAAATGTTTTGCTGTTATTATATCTAGTATTATATTCGATATGTACTTGCATTTTAAGTTCTGATAAGTATAAAAAAAGATGAAAAAGTTAAAAAAAAATCGAAAAGTATGAAATTGCGAGCTATAGTTCGTATTATGTGATGATGACAGTATGGATTGTGCTGTTTGCTACTAACTACTTCACACTAAAACGGCTAAACCGATTTGGATAAAATTAAGCACAGATATATACTTTAAATAAAACTGTCTTTTTGGATTTTCTCGCGGATTAATTGATATTCTCGTCGTTTCGAATGCTTTACAGCAATCATGGTCACGAGAAAGACAGACTCTCGGGAGTTTCATTTAAATATCAAATATCGTAAATCTAATAAAGTATTACAATAGATACTATGAGATGGAGTAAGCCATAGCCAATGTAAGGAACCTAGAGTCAGACTCAAACGAACCAGATTAAGACGGTAGTCTTAAAGGAAAAGTATTATTATACTTTAAATAATTACAGTTTAACTACATATTTCAAGAATCTTTTCAAACTTTATTGAAGCTTACTCATGCCAGAACGTTACGTGGAAATATCAAATAAATCATACTTTATCATTTGCAACCGTTCGATACTTCAATTGTGCAATAAAATGAAGTTTGTTCTGCTTCAATTTTTAACGGTATAATTGGTACCTGTTAGTCTTGCCAGTCCAATGTAAGAGTCGTGTTGTTTATGTAACAACATTTTACTTCTAGGATCGTGTAAAACATAATTTTCTTAAATGTCTATATATTATACTATTTGGTTGATTCTCCATACAAATTTTCATCCCCATTTTCATCCTCTTAAGGGATAATTTTCGAAATATCCTATGTCCTTCCCAGGCTCTCAAACTATTTTTTTCCAAATTTCATCTAAATCGGTTTAGTAGTGTCGGAGCTTATTCGATACAAACAAAGAAACAAAAACTCTTTGCTCTTTATAATATTAGTACAGATAATATCTCACTTGCTATAACAAAATAATAATAATTACATAAACCACCCAAATAATATATTTTTAACTGGAGACTTACGTCCTAAGTTTACATCCCTAGGTGCCTAACAGCAGCCTGTATGTTACTCCAGGAGTAATAAACACGCACACATCCACACGCCAATACATAGGCACACGCACATACGTACATAGAATTTAATAGATGGAATACCAAATATGTAGTCCTTTACTTCTTATTTATACTCTGGGAACATCTGAAGTAAACACAGCGTAGCAGGAGACCTAACAGGATAAAACAACATAAAATATTATCCACTTCAAAGATTCTAATAGTGATCGATACATGAAATATATAAATAAATTAGAAAAACATACATATTATAAATATAAATACCCATGACTGAAGTACAAACATTCGTTTTCATCATGCAAATGATTGCCCCCAGCGGGACTCGAACCCGTAACCGCTACGTACTCAGCCAAACGTGTCGTCATTATTATATGAAATATCTACTACTACGATATTTTGATTAAAATATTAAAAATTATCATAATAACAGCAAAACACATTCTCAGTATCCACAGTACAAAGACGAAATCCGTAGTTGACGTGAGGATCGCGATAACACGTTAAAACTTCCTACAGCTTTATCCCTACATCGACACGAAATTCCTAGCAAGTAATTCCTTAACAGCCTTGAATGTTTTATGGGAATATAGGTGGTGTTGCGTAAACCTAATTATTGGAGATTGTAATTTTGCTTTAGGATTATGTAAATTGTTTATAATCATGAGGTTTGTAGCTCCCAATAGCTTAGTGGTTAACATGTATGGCTGCTAAATTTACAAAGTTCGATTCTCGGATTAGGCAAATATAGTTAACAGGTATCTCTGTAGATATTCTCGTTTAAAGTAAGTTAAAGCCTTTAGTCCTGTCCTCCGTCTAATTCTTCCCAAGTTGTGTTTGAAAGAAATAAAGAAAACATTTATGTTTCTGCGAACACTTGTGGACTAAAATACCCGCGCAGTGTAGTCAAAGTTAAATGCGATTTTTACGTATGTTGTAATAATACGATTAAATTAGCTTTACTTACTAACTTGATAAAATATTATCAAAAAAGTGTGCATTTGAAAGTTTACAAATACAGTCAAAAAGATATAAAACGGAATAGAAAGTAGATAAATAATTTACAAATCTCTTTTTTAGCATTTTACAATCTGTTTTAAGTCTCATATAATTTCGTGTAGGCGAAGTTATCAAACGTTAAAGGTCGTGAATTTTGTTTTTTTTTGTAAGTAATAAGTATGTACATGT